CGCATAAATAAATAGGGAGGGAGGGAGGGAGGGACAGATGGATGGACAAATGGGATGAACGGATGGATGGATGGACAGACGGATGGAGGAATCAATGGATGGATGGATGGACAGATGGGGGGTGGAGGGATGGACAGATAGAGAGGTGGGTGGATGGATGGGGGGGATCAACGGATGGATGGATGGATGGACAGATGGATGGAGGAATCAATGGATGGATGGAGTGACAGATGGGGGGTGGAGGGATGGACAGATAGAGAGGTGGGTGGATGGATGGGGGGGATCAACGGATGGATGGATGGATGGACAGATGGGGGGTGGAGGGATGGACAGATAGAGAGGTGGGTGGATGGATGGGGGGGATCAACGGATGGATGGATGGATGGACAGATGGGGGATGGAGGGATGGGTGGGCGGATGGGATGGGGCGATGAATGGTGGAGAGATGGGTGGGTAGATGGCTCCATGACAGCCGAGCCTGGCTTTCCTTGCCCCCCCAGATCCATGGGGCAGGGACCGCCTTCCCAGAGAGTCCCAAAGGAAACAAGGACCAGCTTCGTTCAAGATGCTCCATTCAGTTCGGACTGAACGGTGGAGGAATGGAAGGATTTATAGGCCTTGCAGTCCTCTGGACATTAGGGCTCCCTCTGAGAGTCCTTGGGGGTCTCTCTGTGCCCCCCGGGGCCACCTGGATATTGCCAATGGGTGTAGAACCTTCTTGAAAGTGCTGAAAGCAGTTGGAACTCAATAAACTCTTGGATGAGAAGCAAAATGCTTTCAAGGGGAAAAAAAAAAACCAGTTGCCTTTTGGAAAAAACCACCGCTGGGACAAAGATGTCCTGGATGGTTGGGAAACCCCTCGGACCTCTGCGCAGGACTGGCGTATGAGCAGCGCGGCTGATGAGTGACACACTTGCTGGAAGTGCGTTAAGAGCAGTCAAGGCAACCAGCACTGTTTATTTTTAACGTTTGTGCTTTGAACTTTAAGAGGATCGTCTAGGAAATAACAAGTGGGCCGGAACATGTGAATATGACTTCTCCAAAACTGAGTGAATAACAACAAACACACTCGGGCGCGCATAGCCATGCGATGAGCTGTTAGGAAACTGGAAGCGTCTGTGGGGCCTCGCTCAACCAAGCGAAGGGAATCCCCAGCTGAGAAGGAAGAGCTCCAGGGAGAACTTCCACTCAGGACCCCCACCCACCCCTCTCCTGGGTTGCCCCCAGGCTTCTCCAAAGTGGCCAGCAAGAGGCTCCCAGTTGCCAGAGCATTGATGGGCTCTCCCCTGGCGGCCCTTCTCAGAAAAGATAACGTAGGAATGGCTTACTCTAGGAAAGAGAAGTCAGAAGAACAGAGTTGNAGGCAGCTCCCCCCCCCCCCTTTTCAGCCCTGGGCTTCAGCTCTTCTTTTCCGTCGGCTTCTGGCTTCTGTCCAGCCCCCCCGTTTGTTCCTTGACCGTCCGTCCATCCAGCTTTCACGAGTTCTGCATCCGGGGCTGGTGCATTGTGGGGAAGAAGCAGACCTGTCCTTACTGCAAGGAGAAAGTGGACCTCAAGCGGATGTTCAGCAACCCGTATCCTTCCTCTCTCGCCATTCCCACAACCCCCAGGGCTGGACTAGATGCTCTCCGTGCCCCTCCCAGCCCTTATTCTCTCTCTCTCTTGCGGGCCTTGAGCCTGGCAGCTGGGTAGCCTCCCTTCAGAGCGTTTCCCCCCACAGGGCTGAGCCCCAGGGGTCCCGTGGCCCCCCTGCCTCTGCAGCCCCAGTGGACGAAGGACCACGGTGGGAGGTTGCTGGCCCCGAGTCCCAGAGCCACGGGATGGGATGCTGGCCTCTTGACCCCCTGGGGGCTCCCCTTACCTGAGGCCTGGGCATTTCCCTCCCCCACACACACCCCTTCTGCCCCTCGGCTGCCCCCCTCCGTCCCACTGGCCGGCTTCCCTTTTCTTTCCAGCCCCCAAGACAGTCCCGGCTTCTCCGGTGGCCCCTGGGGAAAGGAATAGCCCACCCCGTTTAAGGCGTGGTGGCTCAGTGGCTGAAACCAGGGCTCCCCAACTCCGGCCCTTCAGCCGGGCGCAGAAGTAGCAGCTGAGCACGGACATCGTGCAGCGTCTCTGCGTGGGCCACCGTCTGCACGGCCTCCCCTCTACCCCCCTCCAAAGCCGGAGCGCTTGGGGACCTCTGACCTAAAGGACCCCGGAAGAGGCCTGCCCTGGGGCAGTTCGAGTCCTGCCACTGCGTCATGGGCTGAGTTCCCGTCACGGGCCTCGTCTCCTGCCAACCTCGCAGTTCCCCTTCCGTGCCAGTGGATAAATAGGCAACTCCTTCGGGGGGGGGGAGAGAGCAGCGTTCCCGTGTTTTGCTGCACGCAGGGAAGGTTGTAGGGAAGGTTGTTGAGAAGGTGGTGGCCTTTCAACTCCGACGGACCTTGGATGAAGCAGACTGTCTGGATCCCTTTCAGTCGGGGTTCAGGCCTGGTTACTCCACCGAAACTGCTTTGGTCGTGCTGATCGATGATCTCTGG